ACTTTATAAAAAGGGGAGCAAATTGAACTGAAATTGTAACTACAGAGGTATCTCAAAGCTATCAGCAATACCGATGCTGTTTGAAAAGATTATTAGACCCCATTTGCAACATAGTTGTAGGTCTCTTATTTCCGCACGCCAACCCGGACTTACAAAACGTAGGCCAACTACTACGAACCTTTTGGAGTTTACTTCATTTGTGATAAATGGATTCAAGGAAAATTTTCAGATTTACACTGATTTCAGTAAAGCTTTTGAGTCTGCAAATCAACCCCATCTAGGTCTGAAATCTGACTAATGAGCGTCCTGCGTATGATCTCCTTAAGTGGATCTCAAGTTATTTAAATGACAGGATACAAAGTGTCATTTCTAAAAACTCTTTCTTTCCTTATCCAAGTTACTTTAGGTGTACCACAAGGAGGTCACTTTGGTCCCGTCCTTTTTATATTATTCTTTAATGGTCTTCCTCTAGTCCTAACAAGGTTACATGTACTTATGTACGCTGATGATGTTAGGATGTGCCAGCAATATAATGAGCCCGCGCAATCTGATCTCGATGCATTTTAAACTTGGTGAAAAGATAATAAATTATTATTAAATGGCTCTAAGTGCAAAGTAATGACATTTTTTCGTGTAAACCCCTACTACACCGATTATACTCTTAGTGGTTATGAGTTGGACTGGATAACGCAGGTTGATGACCTTGGTGTCTGTATAGATCCCAAACTTAAATTTTTTCTCCACAAAACTACCATAGTGAATAAAGCCAGGGGTATGCTTGGATTTATAAAAATGTGGTCCAAGGAATTTTATGACCCCTACGTCACAAAAACCTTGTTAATATCATTTCTCCGACCAATTCTTGAATACTGCGGTCTCTTCTTGTGCCCGCAATACGGGGTATATATAGTCCGTATTGCGCCTGTACAAAAAACTTTCTGATATTTGCTTTATGGGGACTTAACTAAAATTCAAGCCTAATACTACCGTCTTACTCTAGCAGACTTCTTTAAATAAACTTGCCCTCATTAGCCAACCGTAGAACTATGCTAGGTACCATGTTCATTCGGATTCCTATTCATGGTGAGGTGGAGAGTCCCGAGTTACTCTGTCGCCTGCACTTTAATGTGCCAAAAAGATTCACTAGAAAACATATTCCACTAGTCTAAAATCATTGTAGTTCCAATTATGATATGCGACAACCTTTTAGAGTAGTTTGTATTGACTATATTGATTATATCACCTAATTTCTACTACAGACTTACTGCCCATTTTAAAATCAATAATATTATCCTACCTAGCAACTAATAAGAATTATTTTTTATGTCTTGAAAAATAGCATTTTATCCTGCATGTATTTTAATTATCTATGGTTCGATTGTCATTTTCTATGTCTGCGATTGCGTTTCTCACGCCCAAGAAAATGTCGATGTACGTATGTATGTTTAGTGTACATATGTATGGTGGGAATAGCGGAAAAACGTTGCGGGAATTGTGAAGACTTCGCTTATGTTTGTCGGTGCGTTTGTATGTCACCTGCACAATTTAATTACAGACGATTTGCTGGAGGAAATTTGTGGATATTGTAACTTAGTTCTAAACTTTAAAAATAATTTAGGCGTAATTGTACGTCAAGAAAAGTAGTTGGAGTGGACTGTATTAGAAATAGTAGTTAAAGTGGACTGTATTAAAATATTTTAGTAAATATAAATATAAATATTTAAATTTCTGGAACACATTAAAAAACAAGGAAGAACGCTATAGTCGAGTATCTCGACTATCAGATACCCTTTACTCAGTTACGTCGATGTACGTATGTATGTTTAGTGTACATATGTATGGTGGGAATAGCGGAAAAACGTTGCGGGAATTGTGAAGACTTCGCTTATGTTTGTCGGTGCGTTTGTATGTCACCTGCACAATTTAATTACAGACGATTTGCTGGAGGAAATTTGTGGATATTGTAACTTAGTTCTAAACTTTAAAAATAATTTAGGCGTAATTGTACGTCAAGAAAAGTAGTTGGAGTGGACTGTATTAGAAATAGTAGTTAAAGTGGACTGTATTAAAATATTTTAGTAAATATAAATATAAATATATAAATTTCTGGAACACATTAAAAAACAAGGAAGAACGCTATAGTCGAGTATCTCGACTATCAGATACCCTTTACTCAGTTAAAGGGACCAAAGGGAAATGGAGATATGCAAGCAGCAAAGCGAGATTAAAATACGCCACCTACCGGCGGTTGACAGATTTAAGCGTTATGGGCGTTAGAGTGGGCGTGGTAAATTTTTTAATCAATCGATAGGTATTGACGAGACTAATACATTTCAGTTAACATTTTTTATCTAGCATGAAAACTGTGGGCGTCACATGTTTGGGCTGTTGGTGGGCGTTAGAGTGGGCGTGACAAATTTTTTTTTGGATCAATCGATATCTATTGACGAGACCAATGCATTTTAATTTTTATCTAGCGTGAAAACTGTGGGCGTCACAGGTTTGGGCGGTTTGTGCGCGTTAGAGTGGGCGTGGCAAACTTTTTTTTGGTCAATCGATAGGTAATGATAAGAACAATACATTTCAGTTAACATTTTTATTCTAGCATCAAAACTGTAGGAGCCACAGTTTTGGGCGGTTTGTGGGCGTAGGAGTGGGCGTGGCGCATTGCTGAAACAAACTTGCGCTGCGTAAGAAGCCTAGCTCTTATAGTTTCCGAGATCTCAGCGTTCATCCGGACATGGCTAGACCGACTCGGCTAGTGATCCTGATCAAGAATATATATACTTTATGGGCTCGGAAACGCTTCCTTCTGTCTGTTACATACTTTCCGACTCTACGAGTACCGGGTATAATAAAGAGTGCAATTCCTAAGGAAAATTTTTGAATCGGCTATGGCTGAGTTATATTTTACACACAATTGGAATTAAAATATGTTTGCAGAATATATGACTTGAATAGTAGCACTGGAATATCTACTGGAATTGTTTAAAGTGCACAACTGTGTGTGTGTGTTTGTGGAATATTGTCACGCACAAATAACGGAATTAAAATACATATATTAAATGCCGTTGCATTTAACTATAGAGAAAGTTAGTCGAAATAGGCTTCGACTGGACCAAAATGTTGGGGCGGGGTGGCTCGATCGCTGAAATTAAGTGAAATCGCAAAAAAAAGGTATGAAAGACACGGGGTACTTTGGGGTCTCTTAACACGACGTGCGTGGGTGTTAGTTGTTACACTTGGAAATGTCACTGCTTAAGTCTACTTAACTTGGGCGCTCAAGAGCGGAGCGGAGACTTAGGGGAGAGATGGAGAGGGAGATGTAGATGTAGACATCTAGAAAAAACTGCCGCTCGACACACCATTCATGAAAAAATTGTAGGCAAACAAAATAAATAATTTGCAATTCAATAGAGGGCGAGAGGGATGGAGATATATTCATGCAACACCGAAGCGCCACCTATGTTTCACGCTATGTGGCGTGTCGGTAAAATTTAGTAAGCAGCCCATAGGAATGAACGATAGGTGGCGCTCGTAGAGTAAAAGGGTAAATTGTTTACGGGAAAAAGTATGTAACAGGTAGGCCGTTTGGCCGTCTGTCCGTGTGAAAGCCGTGATCTCGGAAACTATAAGAGCTAGAGAGTTTGGAAATCAGATTTGGATTGCTTAGCTTTGTACGCAAGGCAAGTTTGTAACGCTAGTGTTTTACGCCCAAGCTAACCCCCACAAACCGTCAAAAACTGTGGCTCGTACAGTTTTCGAACTAGACAAAATATTTTACCTGAAATTTATTAGTCTCGTCAATAGCCTGCAGTTCCACCACTTAACACTGGCACACAATCATCACGCATTCGACGCCAAAGCCGAACGCAACGACGGCAGAGCCATCGCAACATCGGCAGTGCCTAAAAAGGTGCTTAATGCGTGCCTGTTTTTGAGCAGTGATGAATCGTAGTTCGCTTGCTTTTAAATATATTTCAATTTTCCGCTTAACGCTCAAAAAAGAGATTTTGCCAATATTTGATTTTAGATTATTTTTTTTGTCATGCCATTGTCATGGCTTGGCGACCCAAGAACTGCGCTAGCCTAATTTTACATCGGTTGCTGTGAAATCTACAACATATGTATGATATTTCATAAAATTTTATGACCCTATGGGACGGTTGTCAGCCTCCTTTCTCCCAACTTTTTCGCTGAATTCTGGCTTTTGAGGGACCTCGAAAAATTCGGCAAATATGGCAAGGGGCCACCCATTATGGGCAATAAAGGGCCTTCAGAAAACATATTTTTCTCGGCCTTTCTCACAACACTTACCCCCTAGGGGTTGGAACTTTAACACTTAAGCGGCCTAAGCTAATTGACACAATTTTTTTTTTACTTTTTGGGCCGAAAACTATCTTAGCCAACAGACAAGCTACTTACAAAGTTACGAGCTATTTGTGGCTGATTTCCCGCTAAACTAGCGGGTCTTTCCAAAAGTGGGTACTCTAAAGTTTTTGAGACGCAGCTACTTACCACGATCTACACTTTTTGGGACGATAAAAGAACGTTTGGGGACAAGCACACAAACTATAAATTACAAACTAACAATCTGACAAACAGAACAAAATTTTCATTTTGAGTAGTCCCATAAAATCTTGATTTTGGAATAACTTTTGAACGGAGCATCGGATCTTAGCAATGGAGGTGTCATTCCAAGCGCATTTGCAATTTTTATTCGAGCCTGAAAACTGTAGGAGCCTCAGTTTTGGGCGGTTGTAGGCCATAGAGTGGGCGTGGCACCCTGCTGAAAGAAACTTGCGCTGCGCAGAAAGCCGAAGAGCCTGCATGGCAAGAGCCTACATTATAGCTCTTATGAATTCTGAGATCTAAGTGTTCATACGCACAGACGGGTAGACATATCTAGTATACCCTTTTACTCTACGAGTGACGTGTATAAGAAATCCAGATTTTGTATTTTCCAATTATAAATTATTTGAATTCTTATGTACTTTTAGGCACTGTTCAAGGAATGGAGAACTTCAAATTTATTCATAGAAATCAATATACAGAAACACCGTTTTTAAATAATATTGCTTCAAATGAGGAATACTACCATCAGTTTTCTTGTGCATTAGATGAAATGAATGACATCCCTTTTATATGCTGCGCAAGAAATATTTTTCATCCCTACATGACAAACTCCATTAACTTTCAAGGTATTAAATACAACTCCATTAATAATTCTAAGAATTCGATAAATACCTATCTTTTTTTCAAAAGAAAAACCATTTAGAAAACCGTTTACTGACAGAAAACCTCGCCAAGCCTACAATGCGTCACAGTTGGAACAACTTGAAAAAGAGTTCAATTTAAATAAATACCTCAGTGCTAGTAAGCGAGTTGAACTGTCAAAGTCGCTGTCTCTGACGGAAGTTCAAATAAAAACATGGTTTCAAAACCGTCGTACAAAATGGAAGAAACAGTTGACATCGAGGTTAAAAATAGCGCACAGACAAGGATTATGGGTGCCAACTTTACCAACTTCAACAATTTTTCCACATACATAATATGAAGGCATCAAAGCCCTATTAAGACCTTTAAAATCAAAAATAAAATAAATAAAACTACAGGCCAATACATCAAAATTAATTCATTGCTTACTTTTAGATATCTTGCAAACAACATTGCCCATCAAATAGCCATTTTCTGTGTAAGCTTTTGTCCAGGTTCATTTTGGTTTGAGCTTTTATACCCAACTACAGCAGCGTGGATTCCGACCGCTTAACCCCGATGCAGTTCTGCGTATCCGTCAGTCAGCAACAACAAAAAATAACGCAGAGCAAGTCTTCTGCTGCTCAGAATTAAAACTAATCTACTACGCATGAGCTTAGGCTATTTAATTAATATATAAAGTAATAACAAGAGAGAATGCTCGACTGTCTCGATACCTGTTAGTCAGCCTTTAAATTTAAAATTTATGTATATTATTAACGTTAAGATGGCCACTTTAAAATTGCAATTCGCTTGAAAAGTTCTCAAAAACTCGCCTTTACGCACACGGGTCGCGCCATACGATAATTAATCGTATACTAACGGGTAAGTATAAAGATTAACAACGCTGTTAAATTTTTGGCCGACAATTTTACGTGCATGGATTTTTGGTCCTTTTACTGCCTTCCAGTGCCTTACAAAATTGGGAAAACTTTCATTCGTCTCTTTATTCTTGGCACATCATGTCATGGAGAGAAAAAACGCAAAGAGCGATAAGACCCCACCCGCGAGTAGACATGAACGGAGGATTCCGGTTAATAAGTATATTAATGTTCCTAGCCCCCAAACTAATTAGCACATTATTCGTCCCCACCCCCTTCCTTCATATAGGTGGGTCCTGGGACAACTAGCATAATCCGTAAGCTGAATAATATTAATAGGATTAGGAGTTATAAAAATGTCACGTCATTCTTAATTGCCCCCATCCCCACACATTCCCTCACCTTTTCCTCTTTAAGAGTAATTAATATTCGACAGGTGCTGTTGTATACGTAAGGCAGATTGATAACTTGCTCCACACCCGCATGTGACAATACTGATCACATGACCTTCTCCCTCATTATGAGCAATTAATATTCAACAGGTGTTGATGTGTACGTGAGAATGGTCGCACACCCAAAATATTGCAAGACTGTCCTCTAAGAGAGGACCATGTCCGATCGCGTTAAGGATAAATGTGTCCTAAGAGTGTGAAAGCAATTGGGAATTTAAAAAATCCCAATAAAATGAATCTCAGAAGTGTTTCTGACACGTGGGAATATTTGAAAAATACAGTTGTGTTTCCGTCAACTACATCAATACCAGCTCAGGACCTGTTACTCTACCTATTTTACCAAAAAATTTAAATGTTGTGATTCGAGTTCCTGGCTAGGTTAAAAGGGCATAAGCAAGAGACAAAAGATATATTTTGTAAATATTTTGTTTATTCAAAGCAAAAGAGTATCTTTTGACTTGGAAAAATCAGTTTATAGTTGTTATTAACTACAATTGACAGTGACTTATACTCTTAAATTTGTCATCCATAAACAAAATCTCATTCAGAAAGTCACCAATGGCTACCCGTACCATAATCCCAGATTTAAGGTTCCTCCACATAGAAAGATTCATATAGAGAAACAACAACGAATCTTGACTCGGGGGGAGGAGTTCATTTGACTTACCAGACTCAGAATGGTATAGGCAGAAGAAATTGCCCTACTGCAGTTCACGGCGGACACAAATCGCAGCTTAATAGAATCTTTTGTGTCGGACAAGCGCCGCCATTGTCATCAAAGAACGTGGAGAGGAACAACAATAAGCACAATATCCGACATAATATGATGTATGTGGCCGCAGTACCCGTGATCCCCAAGCTCCTGAAAATTGTTAAGCGTTCAAAAGCGTAGTGGCCAATTCTTCGGGCAAGTAGTGACTTAATAGAAATGTGTTAATCGAGCCAATCAAATCTAAAGTGAACCTATGCATAACCAAAGACCAATATCCTTAAGTAATATAATTGGAGAACAAGTAAAAATCAAAAAAACATTGGGAGCATTCAAAAATGCACTGAAATATATTTACACCAACCGAATCGATAGACAAAGTGCGAATCATGATGATCAACTAAAGAAGGCGAGTCTCTCTACCAGCAGTTGAAGAAGTCGCATGCCTCTGGCATGTGTTTAAGTGAATTCGTATACTTAAGAACAACCGTATTTTGGTGCACGTATATTTATATATATATATCCAATATAATATTTTCCAATGCCCAGAATCGGGAGCGTCGACATCTTATCGCCCAGGATTTAAAGAAGGGAGTAAGTTTGTCGGAAAACAGTTCCATTTTAATAGACTACTACAAACTTTTCAGCGGTGAGTATGTGTGAGGGGGAGGGAATATGTCCGAAACACAGTTCGATCGTTTTGCGATCAAGCGACAGCTGAACTTGTTGGGCAGAGTGGACTGAGGACTGACGAACTTTACGGACTAATATTATTTTCCAGGCACTTTAAATATTTATTCTCGTTATGTTGGAGAGGAGAGAGGCGTACCAAGATCCCGTGATCCAAATATGAAGTAGCTTATGCCGGCAAATGGCGCCTGAACATCGGACTCCTCTCGCTCGGCCCAAGTCCTTGCATGTATAGGTACTTTAGGTCAGACTCCTAAATTGTGATACATTGGCTACAGGAACATTCTGTTACACTGTGAGGAGTTGAATAACTCCCCACAAATATAAGCAGCAGCAGCAGCAGGTGGCCGGCCGCTTACCATATGCGCGGCGAATTCGCGTAGTAACGGCGCGGCCAGGAGGATTTGGAGAGTGAGAGAGTTTGGAGGCCAAGGATGGAGAGCGAGAGAGTTTGGAGACCAAGGACGGAAAACGAGAGAGCTTGGAGACCAAGGATGGAGAATGAGAGAATGAAGAACGAGAGAGCTTGGAGACCAAGGATGGAGAATAAGAGAATGGAGACTTGGCGGGCAGGGCAAGAGTGCCGTGTGCAAAAGAGGATAACGGAACTCCACCGGACTTTGGACTCGCCCGTGAACTTTGGACCAGGAGAAGAAGTGCCACATCTCGGCAGTGGAGTGGCACACAGGTGTAACACAAGCATCACGGGAATCAGCGGGACGGCAGCAGTGAGCATCGGTTGGAAGCGGTAATTGAAGGACAAGTGGGTCAACAAGGAGGGACAGACTTTGGACTCTGAGAGGAGAAATCCAGCGGGCCGTGCGCAAAAGGGAAATAACGGTTCTCGGAGGCCCTATATAAGGCCGCAGAGCGCTGGCAGCTGGATCAGTCGATCACGAGGAGTCGAACCTTCAAGATCAGTTAAAGTACCAAGTGAACAGTCAGTCAAGCAAGTAATCTACGAGTGAACCACAGCCAAGCGAGTCGTCGGAAGCAGCGCCGTGGGAAGCACACAAGGAGCAAGATCGCCACGTGGAGACGTTCGGGACTTGGACATCAGGAATCTCCGAATTGAGACACAAGTGGCTGAGTTCCGGAAGGCATCACACGGCTCAGTCAAGGCGTTTGTTTTCCAACTTTGTCACGACCACACCCTGGCGAGTCGCCCGGCGGGTCTGTCAGAGACAGGCAAAAGTTCCCGAACAGCAACCGCCCAACTCCCCGAGTGCCAGAACACCGAGCTACTAGTCAGGAGACAGCGAAGAGAACATCGGCAGCGACGCCAGCAGACACCTCCGGCAGCGACGTTACCATCGTCGCGCGGAGCTCATTGGGGAGCGTAGGAGCGTCTCTGACGTCAAGTATTAGGGTGAAGCCGGGTGGCAAAGTGAACTGCTAGGCAGCTTCTGGCGGTAGCCATGACTGTCAGCGCTCTGAGCAAGAACCTAGCGGGACCGTCTGGGACAGAGCAAGGGACAGGTATTGCCTCGAAAGGCGTTGGCATGGAGAGCAAAGCTTGTTCACCCTAGTCTGAGAACGGTGACGCTCCCCTGAGCCCACAAGGCCGAATTCTTTGCGAGTCTAAGGCGCAACAAGCGACCCCGAGGCAGCGCGTCGGCAAGCGAGCAGAGGCAACCACTACGAGCGTCCCGAGACACAGGAGCCAGCGGACGTCGAGTCAAAACGTCGACAAGCCAGGAAGAGGAGCACTAGCAGCCGGCGAAGCCAGAGCAAGGAGATATCGAAGCCAGCCCAGCCACACACCCGCTGTACTAATACCACGAGAATCAATCCCACTGTTACCATTTGAACCCTTTGTTTTCTCACTGATCTACGGGGCAGTCACGTCATATAAATTTGGTGGGACGAGCACACAATCTTCTGAGCTAGCCGCACGAATCTCGTAGCGAGCAGACAACAAAAATCAGTTCGTTACAACACTATCGACGTTCGTGGGCAATCGAGTATCCGAAATCCAATATTCAACTTCTACTGGAGAGTGGAGATATGGAGATCCGAAGCGTCGAGATCTCATCGCCCAGGATTGAAAAAGGGGGTAAGTTTGTCGGAACACGGTTCCTTTCCTATCAAAATACATATATAAATATTCGTGCAGTATCCTAAAATTTTATAGACTACTATAAACTTTTCAGCGGCGAGTATCAGCCTTGAAGTTGTGTGTGCAATTGCAAAAGCCCTCTTAGCGACGTTCGTAGTCGTGAATATTCAGCGTTTTGCTGATGTGTGCACCTTAATAGGTGGTAAACTCGACAAACTCAATACACAAGAAGGATTGTCCCTGCATGACAAAATATCATACAAAGATGTAACTACCATTACAGACTCAAAACTAAAACAAAGGGTAAGCCATAAGTTTCTCACCGGCACAACCATAATTTAAAACCTTGGTACAGGGGTTTGGAAAGTATCTATAACTAGAAAGTTATAAAAAGTTAAACAGCAAAACAATGAGCTTATCCTTAATTCCATCACCAAAACAGTTGTGTGTAGCCACACTTTATATTTATTTCTTATTAAGGAGGTCCCTTTTCTTAAACCGTACACCCAAAGTCATGACTATTACAAACAATACAAAAAGTAAGGTTTCTTTATATTTGTTTCTTATTAAGGAGGTCCCTTTTTTTAAACCGTACACCCAAAGTCATGAACAATAGTAAAAGTG